TATTATTGTTATTATTATTTTTGAGACAGTCTTGCTCTGTTGCCTAGGCTGGAGTGCAGTGGCGCAATCTTGGCTCACCACAACCCCCACCTCCAGGGTTCAAGCGATTCTCCTGCCTCAGCCTCCTGAGTAGCTGGGACTACAGCTGTACATGGTGTGTGCCACCATGTCCGGCTAATTTTTGTAGTGGTGGGTTTTTTTTTTTTTTTTTTTGAGATGGAGTCTCTGTTTCCCAGGCTGGATTGTAGTGGTGCGATCTTGGCTCACCACAACCTCTGCCTCCCAGGTTCAAGTGATTTTCCTGCCTCAGCCTCCCAAGTAGCTGGGACTATAGGCGCATGCCACCATGCCCGGATAAGTTTTTTGTATTTTTAGTAGAGACGGAGTTTCACTATGGTGGTCAGGCTGGTCTTGAACTCTTGACCTTGTGATCCACCTGCCTTGGCCTCCCAAAGTGCTGGGATTACAGACATGAGCCACTGCGCCCAGCTAATTTTTGTATTTTTAGTAGAGACAGGGTTTCACTACCTTGACCAGGCTGATCTTGAACTCCTGACCTCAGGGTCTGTCCCTTGGCTTCCCAAAGTACTGGGATTACAGGTATGAGCCACTGCACCGGGCCGATCTAATTATTCTTAAACATGTTTTTTTTTTTTTAGCCACCTCCTCCTCCAGCTCTTTTTTAAGAGACGGGGTCTTACTCTGTTGCCCAGGTTTGTCCCAAACTCCTCAACTCATGTTATCCTTCTACCTTGGCATACCTGAATGCTGGCATTACATGTGTGAGCTGCTGAGTTTGGCCATGATTTTTTTTTTTTTTTTTAAATGGATTCCCACTGTCACCCAAGCTAGAGTGCAGTGGCTCAATCTCAGCTCACTGCAACTTCTGCCTCTGGGGTTCACACGACTCTCCTGCCTCAGCCTCCCCAGTAGCTGGGACTGCAGGCACATGCCACCACACCCGGATAATTTTTTTGTATTTTTAGCAGAGACAGGGTTTCACAATGTCAGCCAGGCTGGTCCCGTCCCGAACTCCTGACCTCAGGTGATCCACCTGCCTTGGCCTCCCATAGTGCTGGGATTAGAAGCATGAGCCACTGTGCCCAAGCCTGGCCATGATTATTATCAGTTTTCTACATATAAATAAATTATTAAGGGTAGAAAAATGGAAATAGGCCAGGTGCTATGGTTTATTCCTATAATCCCAGCCTTTTGGGAGGCCAAGACAAGAGGATTACTTGAGCCCAGGTGCTTGAGACCAGTCTAGACTACATAGCCAGACCCTGTTGCTACCATTAAACAAAAAAAAAGGGCATGATAGCATGCATCTGTGGTCTGAGCTACTTGGGAGACTGAGGTGGGACGATTACTGGAGCTTGGAAGGTTGGAGCTACAGTGAGCCATGATCGCACCACTGCACTCTAGCCTGGATAACAGTGAGATGTATCAAAAAAAAAAAAAAGAAGATGAGAGTGTCTTCCATGAGCAATTTTATTTATTTCTTTATTTTTTTTTTTTTGAGACAGAGTCTCGCTCTGTCGCCCAGGCTGGAGTGCAGTGGCCAGATCTCAGCTCACTGCAAGCTCCGCCTCCCGGGTTCCCGCCATTCTCCTGCCTCAGCCTCTCGAGTAGCTGGGACTACAGGCGCCCGCCACCTTGCCTGGCTAGTTTTTTGTATTTTTTAGTAGAGACGGGGTTTCACCGTGTTAGCCAGGATGGTCTCGATATCCTGACCTTGTGATCCGCCCGTCTCGGCCTCCCAAAGTGCTGGGATTACAGGCTTGAGCCACCGCGCCCGGCCAGCAATTTTATTTTTTTATTTTAAATTCATGATGTGTTTCTGTTTCTATTTTGTGTGTGTGTGTGTGCTGATACAACCATGTACCAGTTGCTCCATATCCATGTACTAGCTGCTCCTATCTTTGACATGAGAAGTAATTTTTACGTAGGAAAACTTTTAAAAAAGAAATCTAAAAGTTTCATAAGGAACTCACTTATATTCTCTCTTTTATCTTCTCACCTGAGACTGCAGCAGCATGGATGTTGAGAGTGTGACTTACACATCTTTTTATTACCTACAGTACCTTATGGATGAAATACAGAATGCAATTAGTAAATGTTGGTTATTTTAATTGATGGGTAAATAAAACTTCTAATGGAGCCAGGATCAGGGCTTGTGTGAAATGACAGTGGACATGTAAAATAAGTCAGTGTGCACATAAAGAACATAAAGCCTACATTAGAGGGTTTGTCTGCTTTTTTTTTTCCCCGAGACGGAGTCTTGCTCTGTTGCCCAGGCTGGAGTGCAGTGGCATGATCTCGGTTCACTGTAGTCTCCGCCTCTCATGTTCAAGCAATTCTCCTGCCTCAGCCTCCCAAGTAGCTGAGACTATAGATGGTCACCACCATGCCTGACTAATTTTTGTATTTTTAGTAGAGACAGGATCTCCACATGTTGGCCAGGCTGGTCTCAAATTCCTGACCTCAGGTGATCCACCCCCCTTGGCCTCCCAAAGTGCTGGGATTACAGGCATGAGTCACCGCACTGGCTTTTTTTTTTCTCCCCCTGAGACGGAGTTTTGCTCTTGTTGCCGAGGCTGAAGTGCAATGGCATGATCTTGGCTGACTGCAACCTCCACCCCCTGGGTTCAAGCGATTTTCGTGCCTCAGCTGCCTGAGTAGCTGGGGTTATAGGCCCCCGCCACCACGCCCAGCTAATTTTTATATTTTTAGTAGAGACGGGGTTTTACCATCTTGCCCATGCTGGTTGCGATCTCCTAACCTCATGTGATCCACTCATCTGGGCCTCCCAAAGTGCTGGGATTATAGGCATGAGCCACCGTGTCCAGCCTAGAGGATTTAGTGTCATTTTGGGAAAAGAATGAAACTTTACTTTTTTTTTGAGACAGAGTCTTACTTTGTTGTCCAGGCTGGAGTGCAGTGGTGTGATCTTGGCTCACTGCAACCTCCGTCTCTGAATCCCAAGTGATTCTCCTGCCTCAGCCTCCCGAGTAGCTAGGATTGCAGGCATGTACCACCATGCCCAGCTAAAAATTTTTTTTTTTTTTGAGACGGAGTTTTGTTAGTTGCCCAGGCTGGAGTACAATGGTGCAATCTCAGCTCACTGCAACCTCTGCCTCCTGGGTTCTAGCAATGCACCTTCCTCAGCCTCCCAAGTAGTTGGGATTCCAACTGATTTTTTGTATGTGTAGTAGAGACAGGGTTTCACCATGTTGGCCAGGCTGGTCTCGAACCCCTGATCTCTAGTGATCCACCTGCCTTTGCCTCCCAAAGTGCTGGGATTACAGGTGTGTGAGCTAGCACACCCAGCCGAAACTTTTCTTTCAAACATATATTTTGAGTAGGAGTGTACTAGTTCAGGTATCAAATACAGTAGTTAATTTAGCTAATGGTATTTCAAAAGCCTTTCTCATTTGTGGTCTACAGTTCTTGTTTTCAAGAAGCAGGGCAGCCCACATCCAACATAGTACAGTCTACATGACCATAGCTATTAATGAATATATTCCTGCCTTAAGTAGATCATCTGTATACTTTTCTTAGAAATTTCAGTTAACCGGCTGGGAGTGGTGGCTCACTCCTGTAATCCCAGCACTTTGGGAGGCTGAGGCCAGCAGATCACCTGAGGTCGGGAGTTCGAGACCAGCCTGGCCAATGTGGAGAAACCCTATATCTACTAAAAATACAAAATTAGCAGGGTATGGTGGCACATGCCTGTAATCCCAGCTACTTGGGAGGCTGAGGCAGGAGAATCCCTTGAACTCGGGGGGCGGAGGTTGCAGTGAGCCAAGATCATGCCATTGCACTCCAGCATGGGCAACAAGAGCAAAACTCCTTCTCAAAAAAAAGAAATTTCAGTTAAACACATAGAATTTTTAAAATCATCTTTTCTTCTTTCTTTTTTTTTTTTTTTTTTGGTGACAGAATCTCACTGTCACCCAGGCTGGGGTACACTGGTGTGATCTTGCCTCACTGCAATCTTCACCTCCTGGCCTCAGCCTCCTGAGTAGCTGGGACTACAAGCACAATGCCTGGCTGGCTTTTTTTTTTTTTAATTTTTATTAGAGACCAAGTTTTGCCATGTTGCACAGGCTGGTCTCGAACTCCTGAGCTCAAGCAGTCTGCCCACCTTGGTCTTCCAAAGTGCTGGGATTGCATGTGTGAGCCACTGCGCCCAGCACTTCTGCTCTGCTTTTCTTTTTTCTTCTTTTTTTTTTTTTTTTTGAAACAGAGTCTCGTCCTGTTGCCCAGGCTGGACTGCAGTGGCGCTATCTCGGCTCACTGCAACCTCCACCTCCCAGGTTCAAGCGAGTCTCCTGCCTCAGCCTCCCAAGTAGCTGGGATTACAGGTTCATGCCACCACGCCTGGCTAATTTTTTGTATTTTTAGTGGAGATGGGGTTTCACCAGGTTGGCCAGGCTGTTCTCTTAACTCCTGACCTTATGATCTGCCTGCCTTGGCTACCCAAAGTGCTGGGATTACAGGTGTGAGCCACCGCACCTGGTTTTTTTTTTTTTTTTTTTTCGATACAGAGTTTCGCTTTTTATTGCCCAGGCTAGAGTGCAATGGTGTGATCTCTGCTCACTGCAACCTCTACCTCCTAGGTTCAACCAATTCTTCTGCCTCAGCCTCCTGAGTAGCTGGATTACAGGCACGTGCCACCATGCCCCACTAATTTTGTGTTTTTAGTAGAGATGGGGTTTCACCATTTTGGCCAAGCTGGTCTGGAACTCCTGATCTCAGGTGATCCACCTGCCTCTGCCTCCCAGAGTGCTAGGATTACAGGCTTGAGTCACCTCACTTGGCCTTGCTCTGTTTTTCTAATAGCCTTGTTCATTTGGAGTATACTGAACTTCAAGGGAGTCTACATTATTTTTAAAGGCTGTATCTCTGTAAGTTCAGTACACTCCAAATGAACCAGGATTTTCCTAGTAGAATGGGATGCTTGGTTTCCATTTTTTATGTACGTAACTAAACTTTTTTTTTTTAGGGAACACTTCACGAATTTGTGTCATCTTTATGCAGGGGCCGTGATAATCTTTTCTGTATTGTTCCGGTTTTAGTGTATGTGCTGCCGAAGTGAACACTCAACAAAATTTTTTTTTGTTTTTCCGAGACAGAGTGTCTCACTGTCACCCAGGCTGGAGTGCAGTGGTATGAGCTCAGCTCACTGCAGCCTACCCCTCCCAGGTTCAAATGATTCTTGTGCCTCAGCCTCCCAAGTAGCCGGGATTACAGACATGTGCCTCCATGCCTGCTGATTTTTATATTTTTAGTGGAGAGGGGTTATGCCATGTTGGCCAGGCTGGTATCTAACTCTTGGCCTCAAACAATCCACCTGCCTCAGCCTTTCAAAGTGCTGGGATTACAGGTGAGATCCACTATGCCTGCCTCAACTAAATTTTTTTTTTTTTTTTGAGACAGAGTCTCACTCTGTCACCCAGGCTGGAGTGCAGTGGCACGATCTCGGCTCACTGCAACCTCCTCCTCCTGGATTTAAGCGAATCTGCTGCCTCAGTCTCCCGAATAGCTGGGATTACAGGCTTGTGCCACCACTCATGGTCTAAGTTTTGTATTTTTAGTAGAGACAGCGTTTCACCATGTTGGTCAGGCTGGTCTTGAACTCCTGCCCTCAAGTGATCCACCCGCCTTGGCCTCCCAAAGTGCTGGCATTACAGGTGTGAGCCACCTTGCCCTGGCTCAACTAAATTTTTGATAAAAGTTTGTAAATAGCAGTGAAATCACTGTTTCTTTTCTTTTTTTTTTTCTTTTTCAGAGACAAGTTTTCCCTTTGTCGCCCATGCTGGAGTTCAGTGGCCTGAGCATGGCTCACTGTAGCCTCTACTTGCTAGGCTGGAGCGATCCTTCCACCTCAGCCTCTCAAGTAGCTTGGACTACAGGCGTGTACCATCATGCCTGGCTAATTTTTGTACTTTTTTGTAGAGATGGAGTTTGACTGTGTTGTCCGGGCTAGTCTTGAACTCCTAGACACAAACAATACACCTGCCTTGGCCTCCTAAAGTGTTAGGATTACAGGCGTGAGCCACCATGCCTGGTCTGAAATCACGTTTTAAACAACCAACTTCAAGGGGAAGGAGATAAATGATCATGTTTAAAGTAGTTTACGCTGTTAAAATTGGCAAATTATCTATTGAAAAATTCAGTGTTTTTTTTTTTTTTGAGAGGCAGTTTCGCTCTGTTGCCCAGGCTGGAGTGCAGTGGCGCGATCTCCGCTTACTGCAAGCTCCGCCGCCTCCCGGGTTCACGCCATTCTCCTGCCTCAGCCTCCCTAGAAGCTGGGACTACAGGTGCCCACCACCACGCCTGGCTGATTGTTTTGTATTTTTAGTAGAGACGTGTTAGCCAGGATGGTCTCAATCTCCTGACCTCGTGATCCGCCCACCTCGGCCTCCCAAAGTGCTGGGATTATAGGCGTGAGCCACCGTGCCCGGCCCAATGTGTTTTAAATAGTTATAATTTATTTTTTATTTTTATTTTTTATATTTGAGGTAGATTCTCACTCATGATCCGCCTGCCTTGGCCTCCCAAAGTGCTGAGGGTACAACCGTGAGCCACCACCCCTGGCCTAAATATTTATATATTTTTTTTTTTTTTTTTTTTGAGACAGAGTCTCGCTCTGCCGCCCAGGCTGGAGTGCAGCTGGAGTGCAGTGGCGCGATCTCAGCTCACTGCAAGCTCCACCTCCTGGGTTCACGCCATTCTCCTGCCTCAGCCTCCCGAGTAGCTGGGACTACAGGCGCCCGCCACCTCGCCCGGCTAGTTTTTTTTTGTATTTTTTAGTAGAGACAGGGTTTCACCGTGTTAGCCAGGATGGTCTCGATCTCCTGACCTCATGATCCGCCCGTCTCGGCCTCCCAAAGTGCTGGGATTACAGGCTTGAGCCACTGCGCCCGGCCAATATTTACAAATTTTATATTTTTCTTTTCTTTTTTTTTTTGAGACAGGATCTTGCTCTGTTGCCCAGGCCGGAGTGCAGTGGTGCGATCTTGGCTCACTGCAACCGCTGCCTCCAGGTTCAAGTGATTCTCATGCCTCAGCTTCCCAAGTGGCTGGGATTACAGGAACAAGCTACCACACTTGGCTAAGTTTTTGTATTCTTAGTAGAGACAGGGTTTCACCATGTTGGCCATGCTGGTCTCGAACTCTTGGCCTTAAGTGATATGCCTACCTCAGCATCCCAAAGAGCTGGGATTACAGGTGGTAGTCACCATTCCTGGTCTATATTCTTTTTTTTATTAACAGTATTTTTATTAGAAGTGTTTCCATTATACCCACAGATTCAGTTCTGTCATCACAGATTCCAAAATACTATTCATATTCTAAAAGTTGGGCAGTCCTAGAGCTTGGTAGGTTTTTAAATTACACATGTATTATGAAACCTAATTACCAAATGTGAATTTGTGTATAGGTATAAATAGGGAACTAGGAACTACTGATATGGATAGGGTATATCAGCGCTTCCTGGTAGTGACTTTTCAATTAATGACTGATGTATAGTATCTGCTCCCCTGTGATAGACTCATTTCGCATGTACCGCATGTCCTCAACCCTTTATAATACTGAGTGTCCTATGCTAAAGGTAATAATGTTAAGCATTGTAGTTTTGAGGCTGTCATTAAATTTTCAAGTTTCAAGGTTTTAAATTCCAACATTGGAATTTGTTGAAACAGGATTTGACCTCTATTCAAATTGTATATCCTGAACTGGTAGGACATAACCTATCAAACACTCATTCTGTCTTGAAATAAACATGCTAAAAATGTAGTATTTTAGAAGCAATGTACATTTTTCATACAGATTCAATATCCCTAATCCAAAAATCTAGAAATCCTCCAAAATCGGAAACATTCTGAGTGCTGACATGATACTCAAAGGAAATGCTCATTGGAGCTTTTCAGTATTTAGATTTTTGCATTGAGTATGCTCATCCAGTATAATGCAAATAATCCAAAATCTAAAACTTTTTAAAATTTGAAACACTCTGGTTTGAGGCATTTTGGATAAGGGAGTACCTAACCTGTATTAGCACTTTATTTGAACTCATAAAGTAAACATTGGAGAAAACAAAACCTAAATATGAAACACAGACTGGCTGGTCATGGTGGCTGATGCCTGTGATCCCAGCACTTTAGGAGGCCAAGGCTGGAGGATTGCTTCAGGTAGGAGTTTGAGACCAGAGTCTGGGCGTCCCATCTTTTTGTGGGGAGACAGTCTTACCGTGTCGCCAGGCTGGAGTGCAGTGGCTCGATCTCGGCTCACTGTATTCTCCACTTCCCAGGTTCAGGGAAGTGGAGAATACTCAGCCTCCTGAGTAGCTGGGACTACAGGCGGGTGCCACCACACCTGGCTAATTTTTTTTGTATTTTAGTAGAGACAGGGTTTCACCATGTTGGCCAGGATGGTCTTGATCTTCTGACCTCATGACCCCCCGCCTCGGCCTCCCAAAGTGCTGGGACTATAGGCGTGAGCCCCTGTGCCTGGCCCCTGTCTCTTAAAAAAAAAAAAAAAAAAAAATTAGCCAGCTTGGTTGTGTGCACCTGTAGTCTCAGCTACTTGAAATGTTGTGGTGGGTGAATCACTTGAGCCTCGAGGCTGCAGTGAGCCATGATTGCACCACTGCAGTCCAGCTTGGGTGACAGAGCAAGATCCTGTCTCCAAACAGACAAAAAGCCATAGACTGAATTTATTTGCAATGATGATGAGATAATTAAAATACCTTAATTTTTCTTTTTTTCTTTTTCTTTTTTTTTTTTTTTGAGACAGAGTCTCGCTCTGTCGCCCAGGCTGGAGTGCAGTGGGGTGATCTTGGCTCACTGCAACCTCTGCCTCCTGGGTTGAAGCAATTCTCCTTCCTCAGTCTCCCGAGTAGCTGGGATTTCAGGCGTGCACCATGCCCAGCTAATTTGTGTATTTTTAGTAGAGATGCGGTTTCACCATGTTGGCCAGGCTGGTCTTGAACTCCTGACTTCAGGTGATCTGCCTGCCTTGACCTTCCAGAGTGCTGGGACTACAGATGTGAGCCCCTGCACCCTGCCTGTGTGTGTGTGTGTGTGTGTGTGTGTGTGAGAAAAACAGAGTCTTGCTCTGTCACTTAGACTGGAGTGCAGTGGTACGATCATGGCTCACTGCAACCTTGACCTCCCTCCCTGGCTCAAGTGATCCTCCCACCTCAGCCTCCATAGTAGCTGGGACGAGAAGTGCATGCCACCAGGCCCAGCTAACTTTATTTTTTTTAGAGATAAGGTCTCACTGTGCTGCTCAGGCTGGTCTTGAACTCCTGGGCTCTTGGAATCTTCCTTTCTTGGCTCCCAAAGTAATGGGATTACAGGCATGAGTCACCTTGCTCAGCCTGATTTCTCTTGTTCTTCTAGTGAAGCCAAACCAAGAAGAAATCTATTTTGAATAATGAGAAATTGAGATTTGTAAAGAATATTCTGACAGTGGTTGAGAAATTACAATTTTTTTTCCCTGAACATCTTAAAAATTAGAATAATTTAAAAACTCTGTATTGGCCGGGCACGGTGGCTCTTGTCTGTAATCCCAGCACTTTGAGAGGCTGAGGTGGGTGGATCACGAGGTCGGGAGTTCGAGTCCAACCTGGCCAATATGGTGAAACACCCCCCCTCCCGTCTCTACTAAAAATACAAAAAAACTAGCCGGGCGTGTTGGCACACGCCTGTAGTCCCAGCTACTTGGGAGGCTGAGGCGGGAGAATCTCTTGGACCCAGGAGGCAGAGGTTGCAGTGAGCCGAGATTGCACCACTGTACTCCAGCCTGGGCAATAGAGGGAGACTCCGTCTCAAAAAAAAAAAAAAAAAAAATTTATATTACATTGTGACTCAAAGAGTTTTCTGGTAATGAGCTTTGTTCCTAGGATGGAAAAATCTGAGTGCACATTATAATAATGTTGCATGTTTATCTGTCTGAAACTTTATTAACAGAAAGTTTCAGATGATCATTTTACACTCCATTGACTACCCCAGTTCTGGTTGATGTGGTACAAACTAACCTATATTGTATTGTATTCTGTCTGATTTACAAGGGATTAAAACAATAAAAATTGGCA